AAAGAAAACAAAGTGGAATACAAATAAATTATCGAAATCCACTTAATTCTTTAACTTTTATGCAAGAAATGCTTATTTATTAACATATCTGGCCTTAAATTAGTCTCAACACGTGTCATATGATTGATAAGCTCGGCAAAGTTGCATATACAAGTTTCATGGAATTAATCAGCTGATCGATTTATCTATTAACATGCTAATTTATACATTCTTCAAATATAGTGAGGCTCATCAGCATGTGGAATAGGTGCTGGATAGTAATATTTTACTCAAATAATATTGTAAGTTAAATCATTATAAGTTTTCAGTGCTGGAAGGAAAGAGTTCCAAGCAATTGTAGATATTTTACAATACTGGGTAGTGTACCAAATGGTGCAAAAGATCTTATATCACGCCTTCTTCAAAAGAATCTCGTGAAACGTTTACTGCTAACGGACATCTTGAAGCATCCTTGGATTCAAAAACTGATTGCAAAAGATAGCAATGAAAAATGTGAGTATTAAGTAATTGAAGGAAAAACACTTGTTGATCGAAAAAACAAAAACAAATTATTTGTTATTTGTTAAATTAAAAAATTATAAGTATAAATAGAAATATTTTTGAACTTCTAAACTTTTTAACTAAAATTTCATTGGAAACATTATCAAAAGGAATTTTTTTGAGTGATTATATCTTAGATTAGTTCAGTTAATAATTTATTTAATTTAATTAGTTAGTTAAAGTGATTTTGTCTAATTTATGCATTTTCCATAAATGCAACTCTACCGCTTCGATTTCTTATCAGAGTGTTAAGAGTAGCTTTCTACCTAAGACTAAAGTTATTAAAAAAAATAAAAAGGGTAATAAAAGCATCCACAGTGTTTGTGTGTGAGAATCAGAAAGTCAAACTTTTAAAAATTAGTTCAAACTTTAAAAATAAAGAGGATCGATGATCGATGTATCGAAAATTTCGAATTTAGTATGAGCTGAATGGAATCCGATCCAGTTGCTATTATCCTCATATTTCTGTTCTTTTAAATGAATTCAGATTGTTGTCTTATTAAAAACTGCAGAGAAAATAAACGGTGGAAAGGAACTGATTGCTAATAATGCAAGTTCAAATCATTTCAACCGATATTCATTTAAGTTACTACGAAAATATGCTGAAACATTTCCAAAAACTTTTGATGTCTCTACTAAGTGATATGTACCAGAATCTAAAGAACACTCGTACTATTCATACTGTTCTGATAAAATAACTCACATAAGTTTGATGGATATTGAGAGTAGTAAAATTTATCAAAAACAAAATCTTTTACTTCCAAACGCTAAAATGAAATCAGTTTTATTGTTGAAAATTAGACGTGTATGTCTCATTTCATCGCCTCGCATGAAATTCTTTTGTATCTTATGCTACATAATGTAATCTTCTCTGCTAACTATCTTACCGATTGAACAGAAGGCGCTTAACTGATTACTATTGATGAGCGCTTTTTGTTCCTTTTTGATATCGCAGTGCAGTCAATTTCTTTGCCTTCGTTATATGCTTTATCTATTGTGAAATGTTAAGCAGTCGTCGCTTTAGGTTGACATCCAGCATGTGAAGAAGTTTTTGGACAACAGAAATATTTTGTTTGTACCTTTTCACTTTTTGTCCTCATATTTTAATATTCAATCTTATTAAAGTAAACAGATTTAAAGATGAAAAAGTTGGGAATGATGACAACTTGAGAGGGAAATTAAAAGGGAGGAAAAGACACTCCAATGAAATTATTTAGTTCATTCAACATCAACAACAAAAAATGGAATTTCACCAGAGTGTCATGGGCTGTCAATCATTGATATACTTTTATATAGCTTAGCACTAAATTAGACAGATCCAATAGCCTCAAAACAACTCCCAAGAAAATATTGGTGCTAATATTCTCACCCCCAAATGCTCATAAATCTTCATCCTTTTTTTCTGATTAATGCATCAATTAGTGCTTCCATTTTCACCTTTTACGTATCAAAATAAAACCGAAAAAAAGTTTCTGAGAAAACATTTCATTTCATCAATATCATTGTTGAAGTGTGTTTTTCTGACTTCGAGGATAACTTGCAGTTTTTGCACCTTCTTATGGGAAATGATCTCTGAGGAAAGAAGAGTACTTTACAAAATCTATAAAGAAATAAAACGGTCGTTTCGAATAGAAATTATTTTGATTTCAATTAATGATATTAATTGAAATTATTCTGATGCAGGAAGTTCTTGATGCTTCATCCAATGAAATGTGATTAACGCCAGTTTTTAGTATGCGAACACTTTTGGACAATTGCACTTGATTATGTTCCATTAGTATTTAGAAGCTATTTCGTGCACATATTACTTCTGAAATTTTGTGATTGCAGTTGAGGAAGGCATGAAATTTCGATGCCAAATGTGGAAAGTGAAATTGTTGAAGTGCTCTCGATACGTGTAACCTTCTGTGTCATTTGATACGTCAGTAAGGGCTTTTTCTCACATGCTCGTAGTAACCGTTGTTTCAACCGGTGATCAAAGCAGTGATGTGCGAGAGAAATGGAAGAAGAAAAAGAGTGATGTGCGAAAATGTCCTTCAACCCTTGCAAACATGAAACTGAAAAGGAACCATTCCTTTGTTTTCTTAAAATCTCTAATTCATTGATATGTTTCCCGAAACTTTCAACTATTTCGATGACTGTTTATAGTTTGGTGAGTAAACAAACCTGTTTAATTTGAGGTCTCTCTCTGATTCCCATCACTTCTATGAAGTCGTGCAAGTGTAATTCGTTATTTCATCAGTATGAGAGCAATGAATTACTCATATTGGGAAGGAATTGTGCTTTACACAAAAAAAAAGCAAATGACAGTAAAATTAATTATCACTTTCGTCTCTCACTTCCGATACTTCATTTTACCATCACAACCAACTTTATCATTGAGAAATTAATTACTATGTAAATATGCACAGTTTAGCTAAGCTATAATAACTATATGAAATGATTCGGAGCTATTCATGCAAAAAATAGTACAATATAATTGGAGAAAAAGACATCTTCAACGCAGCTGCTATTGTCACAGTAGGGTTCTGCTTTTTAACACTTAATCTGACAAATATTTATATGCAGATTAACTGGCTAGCCGATGCTTGAAATGTTGGAAAACTGAGAAAACTTACTTGAAGATTTAGTTCTTTAAAAAATTAGTAATTTTTTTTTAAATAAATTATTGATTTTAAGAAGATGTTCCTTTCATCATTGATTCGTATCTCCATTACTGTACCCACTTTGATTATCCTTTGGTTTCGAATTATTGGCACATTAGTTGATAGAAACAGCAAAAGATCATAACGAAAGAAGTAGCTCAGTTTTCAACGAAAATGGATTAAAATGAATAAAGAGAAGGAATAGCAGGTTTGAGACAAAGCTGTAATATGGAGACCTGAAGCAAATCTTCAATGATCGGTCTGAGGCAGATCTGCTGCATGCAAGCCAGATTAAGAAGCAAACCTACTACAGCATGCATCATTTCGTCTTGACATCGTAAAGACATTTCTAGGACTAAAATAGGTTAGAATGAGCTTCTAGATTTGAAGCAATCTTTATATTTATTGCATCCACATTAGCCGTGTTACATATGTTATTAAAATATTTTTGTTTCTTGACTTAAAGATATTTACAAAGTTTGAACATTCATTTTTGCCGTGAACTCACATGTAAATTTATATCAATCAAATTTTACGAATTACAGTAAGTGTTAATAGTTACTATTCTTAATAAATAACAGCAACTATTAACTCGTTGCAAGTAGGAGAGTAAATAAGTAAATAAATTATCCATTTATTTCAGTGTTTCGTACTAAAAAAAAGCTTTCGTCATATTGCTGATTCTAAATTCTCCCTATCTCCACTCTAGTTAAAAAATATTTATATTTTCTGCACAATTACTCTCTTTCATAATGCCAAATAGAAATTCATTTTCGTTTGATTCTAAATAGTGTGGCAACATTCTTCACATGTCGCTTCCACATGTGCTCTTCATTCCGTATAATTTAAGTTTAAGAATGACTTTCAATACTGTCATCTTTATTAGTGAACTGACAGTTATATTAAAGATTACGCTTAAGTGTAACGGATGAATAATGTTTTCATGTGATATGTCACATTTCTTCACACACAAAACCAATATATTTATCATTTCATTAATGAAGGTGACAATCGAAAGTTTCCCTTACTTTATTGATAAACAAGAAGTAAATGTATGTGTCAAGATAGAATTTAAAGGGCACTCTTATCACTTGCTTTCTAATTTAAGCTCTTTCTAATTTCTAATTAATCTAATTTCTAATCTAATTTAAATTTAATCAGATTTTCATTTTTTCGCCACCATACCGTGTATATACATTATTCCATCCAAAAATAGTTTGAATATCAGTTGAGAAAGATTTGATAGATTTTTAGCTAAACGTAGAAACACTATTCGATGTGTTTTCCTTAAATCATACTTTCTTCTTTCGATCTTATTACTTTCTATGTTTTTGCATCAGTCCTTCGATGCAACATATTATGCAGCGCATGCGCACAATAATTTTATTTTAAGGTGCATATAATGCATGAATAGAAATATCAACATATTTTTCCTCAGATTTTTTTTTTTTTTTTGAAAAATTCTCTGATTGAGGACTAAACTAGTAACAACTTTTATTCATTATCGTCAATAATATCTGCTAAAATAATGCCATAAATCTCTTATGATTAATTCTAATCATTAATAGTAGCAACTGCCAAGAGTAATGATATGTTATTTTATTCTACAATATTACAATGAATCAAAATATTTTTCTGATATAGTAGTGTTAACTCTTTTGATAAATATGAGTACAAGATTCCATGTATAGGATAACATCATGTTTTAAGAATTTCACTCTAATTCAGATAGAGAATATAAGAAGAAAATATCACTCAGACATTTTCCTAGGCTCCAATACTGACCGGTTGTGGAAAATATTAAGATTACTATTATCACAACTGTCGTCTCTTAAAGACTATCGATCTTGCACTGCGATGCCTTCGAAGCAGGCCAAAACCATAGCCGACTCCTATAGGCCTTCGTGGATAGACGTAAGGTGCGGGTGGTGGTGGTGGTGGCGGTGGTGGCGGTGGCGGTGGCGGTGGCGGTGGTGGCGGTGGTGGTGGTGGTGGTGGCGGTGGTGGTGGACAGCATAAACACTGACACACGAACGGCAAAAAAGGCCTAAAAATAACTTAATTCTGAATGTAATAGCATTAAGAGTTGAAAATTTTATAAGGTTCTAAAAGAGCTGCTAATTGTTAAAACGAAGGAGGAAAACTGAGATCCATTATCTATTCAGGCTTTTCTTTTAGTTAACAAAATAAACTAGGAAAGAAATAATGATGCTAAAATTTCGTAAATACATTTCTGTGAGGGACAAATAAAATGCACATAGGCTTTAAACTAAATTAGCCGAAATGTCATTGTAAGAAAATAGATTTTTCAATAATAATTCAAAAATTTTTCTTCCATCTCTCAGCTAAGAATATCATCAAGTCATTGTATAATATGATCCAAAAATGACTTCTTGAGGTTAAAGGTTTTATACAATCCGGAAAAGGTGGAATCAGGGCTATTTTCTAAAAATTCTGGAGGAATACACTTACACGCAGCAGAAGTAACTATCGGTTGGTAGTATCACAAATGAAAACAAAGCCAAGCAGAAATATGTCAAACGCATCACTTTGAAATTCGACGGCGTTCCCGTAACTTCCACCAATTTTAATACGGCAATTCGATATGTAGAGAGAATATAAAAATTAAATTCTACAGATGGAACACTTTTATAGCAGGCCAGTGAAGTTACAAAAAAAGAAAAAAAAAAACGAAGGTAATTGCAGAATTAAAAGTAAATGAGCAGATCAGTCAGACATTTGTCATCAATGACGACAAAAAAAATCACCATTTTTGTTTTTTCAACGATTTTCTCTACAAATTACATTACATTTTCTCTTATTTGCATTTACGTGAAAGACGCATTTACGCAAGAAAAAAAAAAACAGAATTTATTGATTTCTACTATAAAGTTCTTTTCATGTATGGGTAAAGTACATTGAAACGTGGAGTCTGCACCTTCCGGCAAATCCTCGGTACGAGTCGATCAATTCCTAATATCACGAAAAAATGAAGTTATCAAGGTTGAAGAATGTACTATTGAAAAACGATGAATCTAAAATTTTCAAGGTTACCTCTTTTATTTCAGCTATAATTGCAGTTCATTTTGAATAAACTAAGTTTGCTGCTTTAAAAATTACCTGGAATTCATGATAATAAAAAGGTCATTGACACACACAAATTATTTTTAATCTAAGAAGTGTCTATAAGAAACAATAAGTTATATGAACATATATCTAACACTAACTTTTATATCTTAAGTGCTTTTATCGGCTTTTCCCACTCCACTTTTCCATCTATTGATTTGTTTTTTTTTTTTTTTTTTTTTTTTTCATTTCTTTGGCCTAACCGTCTTTATCCTTACTCCATACAAGCATATCACATAACTTAACAATTTGCATAAATGTATTGAAAATAAATTTAAAAGACCAATTTTGTGTGGATCAATGTGGTATATGATATTATTTATGGCAAAAGTTATCATATCAGCCTGACACTATTGTTAATGAATGAACGTTGCTCCAAAACGCTTAGATTACGTGGTTCATATTGTGACGTACGCTTAAACTACATAAAATTTTTTGTAATCTATGTAAAAAAGTTTGTTTTGATTCACTTACTTCAACTTATGTAAATCAAGAGATGATTTAACTTTTATTATCTATATACTGTAACTGAGGAAGAGTTCCTTAATCTCATAGTTACTTTAACATTAAATGGTACAGTTACTTTTACTTTAATTTTAGACATAAAGCAGAAAGACCATATCCAGAAATACTTATTCCATCTATGGAAGTTCACCCATACAAAACATATCTTCAATTCATGTAGTTTAAAAAAAAAACACAGACAGTCTTGTTAACACTTTTAAGAAATTCACTGATATTCGATTTCGCCGAAATTATTACTGATTTGATGTAATATATCTTCTAATTTATATTTTCATGCTTCGAGAGATTTGCAAATTATTTTGCTTCACAGACGAACTTGAAATTTTCAAGGGAGGTTTCCGAGAGTCAGTCCCGAGGATTTCACTTCCGCGGAACTTTTGCAGCAACTTCTCACCCTCCCCCTTGCGCTTAAAAGTCGCTCTCCCATTCCGGTTTTTTTTTCGCTACTCAAGCTTAAACCAGGCGCGCGCATATTTCCAAATCGACGGGGCTGATGAGATTCATTTTTCCGCATTTCATTTCAGTTTGAGTCAGTTGCTTAACTTATGTGGTGATATGTTGTTATCATGATTTTAGTGCGTTATCACTGTTATCATTGCTATATGGGCTTGATAACAGTTTCATTATTTGTGTTTGAAATAAAATGCTAGTAGATTAATACAAGACAAGAATATAATGAGATTTGTATTATCGATAACACATTACTGTTTAGGATTAGCACTCCGTGGTGTCACTTAAATTTAATTAAGGATCGTGGCCAAATCGCCAGAAAAGATAGAAATGTGATAGCAACATTTCTAATTTCGTTTTAAAGTGAATAAACCCATTTTAGCTTGCTTAACAGGGCAAAATTTATCTTTGTGGTTTAACCACTTGACCATCGTGAAATAAGGAAAGAAGAAAATCTGAATTATGATGTGTATCATTTCATAAAAAATAAATTTCGTATACCTCTGCTCGTTTTAACCCGACTTGTTACGTTAACCGTAACTTGTTCTCTTTTTCAGATGTCAACTTCAGACTTGCGAGAACGTCTTCGTAAATTAGCGGAGCGTACTGCTAGAGAACTACAAGTCTCTCAAAACAAGAAAGAACAGGGAGATCAGAATCAAAGCGCACAAAGTACGTCTTTGCTCATTTTATTTAAATTTGTAACAGATCAGTCAGGGTTTCGAAGCATATATCGTAATGAGGAAATTGCTATGAAGATTGAAGATGGCTATTGTGAAAATTATTTCTTTATATTGCTGACAAGAAAAGGTCGATATAATATTACCAGGACTTTTTTTTTTTTTTTTTAAGAGTAACCTAAGTTTATTCTCCATTAAGGTATATAATGTGTTTATAAGAAAGAAGCGATGTATTTATAGGTGATGGCGATAAAGAAAACAGTGTACTTACAGCTCCGACAAATACACGCATGACTTGTACAGCTCCGACCAAGCTTTTAAAAAATATTAACATGGTCAAGACGCCATCTATTCCAGAACCTGCAATACAAGATTCATCATTGAAACCGAGTAGTAGTGCAGTACCTTGTACATTTACCGTTAATAATTCGAAAACTGGAACTTCTGTTGGCATTCCTATAGAACCCATTATTGCAACATCAAAATGTTTGTTTAATTTTTTTGCTTTTTTTCTTCATCTATTTAAGTCTTTTTAGTTTTTATGTAAAATTAAACATCTCTGCAGTACATATTGAAGTTTTCATGGCGAATTCAAAGTAAGGTTGATTTAAGTTATGTTAGGGATCAAAACCAAAAACCAGAAACTACTTTTTATAAAAAGAATGTGATGTCTTTGAATTTGATTGGATTAGCTTTTTGAGCAAAAAATATTTGTAGCCCCTGATCAAATCGAGAAAGTTAATGATTCTGTTGCGCGGTGTAGCAAATCAGCCAGCAGATCAGCTGAAGACAGGAAAAAACGAACTGCTAGTGCCCATGTTGTAAGGAATATATCTCTTAACTAAGAGCTTCTAAATATTTTTGACTAGATGGTGCCAAAAAATTCAAATGCTTCACAAAAAAACTCTGGAACAGTTAACAGAAGTCTTATTCAAGGAGCAATCAACAGGTCCGAATGGTGATGGTGTGGCAACATCAGCAGTCCACGCATTACGTCGTTCAGAATCTGCTTCCACTTCTCGTCCTAACCATTATGTTTACGTAAACAGTCATCCGTATGTTGTGATCGACTTATTGGGTAAAGGAGGCTCCAGTAAAGTTAGACTTTATTTGTAGTATTTTCAATTGCTTCAATTTTTCATACGTACATTTGATCTGAACTTATTCAAAAGAGTTATATTTGCTTTCTCAATAATTACGATTGCGCTCGATTCATTTGTTTGAAAAGAGATAGATTTTTTCATTTATTCAAGGTTTATCAAGTATTAGACGAAAGACAGAAGAAATTACGTGCAGTGAAGTGTGTTGATTTATCGGAAGCTGATTATTGCTGCCGCAGTGCCTACTTAAACGAAATCAAACTGCTGCTTAGTTTGAAGGATACAGGATGTGTTGTGGAGATGTTTGATTAGTATGTGATTTTAATAGTACTAGTAAAAATCAGCTAGAAAGTGTCAACTAATAAGTTAAAACAAATCTCAAGCATAGCTATGAAACTTTTGGTAGACGTCAATGAAGTTATTTTTTTTAGTGAACTTCATGGTGATTTCTTGTATGTAGTGATGGAAAAAGGTGATACCGATTTGGCAACTTTCCTGAAGACTCGGAGGAATCAAATTGATGATATATTTATCCGATTTTATTGGAGTGAAATGTTAAAATGTGTGCGTACTATTCATGAAAAAGGTGAGCAAGAATCCTGTTTTTTCTTTTTTATTGTCAAAGCTAGATGACTTTTTTTATAATTTCCAGGTATTGTCCATTCTGATTTGAAACCGGCAAATTTTCTTCTTGTCGGCGGAAATCTAAAATTAATCGATTTTGGAATTTCGTCTGCTATTCCAACAAATAAGACGTCAGTAATGAAAGACACACAGATGGGAACACTATCTTATATGCCGCCAGAAGCTATTGCAGGTTCAAATGCTTCAGTGCATGACGGAAAAGAGATTTACAAGGTAAATTTTAGGAACATTTTTGTTTTTATCGGTTTGGTGGTTAGAGAAAAATGAAAATTTCTACTCCTCTCATTAAGGAACTCGATATTTAGTATTATAAATTCGTAAAGATAGGGACGATAGTTGTAAAATGGAAAACAAATTGCTAGAATGCTCTTTAGAAATGAATTAGAAACATTCTTTGTTTACAGTGACATTACGAGATTTAGAAACTTATTTCAAATTCTTATGGAAATCTTTTAGGTTCGTAAAAAATGTGATGTATGGGCTTTGGGTTGCATATTGTATAACATGGTTTATGGACATACGCCATATCAAATGTGGACAAACCCAATCCAAAAGATGCATGCTATTTTGAATAAACCAATAGTTTTTGAGAAAATCGAAGATGCTGATTTAATGGATGTTTTAAAAGTAAATATTTTTATAATTATTGTGCAGGAGCTCATATTTTTATTCATCTTATTGTTCAGCATGCTTTCAGTTTTACTATTATGAAGTGCCTTTTTCTAGAGATGCTTAACAAGAGATCCCGACCAGCGGTCTAGCGTTGAGGAATTACAGAAACATCCATATTTGACGAGTAAGTTTCTTATTTAATCGATCTTTATGGAATTATAACTTCCAATTCTTGTTTTCTTTTGTAGAGGTCGAACAAAGCATGAAATGATTTTGACCTATCCATTACAAAAGGTGCCCTAGAAAATAATTCCAAGAGAATTATTTTAATACTGATTATTTAAGGAAAAGTTCGTAAATGTATGGATGAGTCAGTTTTACCGCAGGATGACAGTGATTTAATGAAAGTGGCTGAAGATTTACGGAATTCTACACCGCGAACTTCAGCACGAAAACTTCGTGATCTTATGCAACGACGAGATCCAACAACTACGAGAAAAGATCTAGTGATGAGCAAATTCACTTGAATATGAATAAATTATTGCCTATTTTCCTGTATATTTTAGCTCTGTGTTAAGAATTTAAACTAAGCGTAATATTTGTTAACTATATTTAAATAAGATACACTGAATGAAGTGAGGCGAACGAGATATGACTGCATTTTTAATACATATAAATACACGAGATTTATAGTCTACATAGTGTGAGGTGTCGAACTATACAGGGATTAATATTCATTTTCAAATTAATGGTAATGGGGTTCACTTTTTTTTAAACTTTCTCAATTAAGTTTAGTTTCTAGTGACTTTCTGTTCTGTCTTTACTCGACTGCGAGTAAAGACGGAACGATTTGAATATTAAATGATGCTGTTATTAATGAGAAATTATAATTTAATTGACTGTTCTTAGACACATATCAAAGCGGTTCTGTTGCTTCATTGAGGAATTTTTTAAATGTTTATTTAGAATGATTATTATTAGTGCAAATTGGTGTTACTGTACAAATTTTCTATTCTTTATATCTCTAACGATTTTATAATGCTACTCAGTTCTGTTAAAGGGTTTCGTAAGAGAACTGCCTTCCCATTCTTTGCCTAGAAATAGCTGAAAGATTTTTTCAAACTAGTTATTGATGTTCCAATCACTCCTGTAAACTTGTCATTTCATGTGGCCGTCATTTTTATTAATATATTTGAGCCTTTATAAATAGATCAGGTTTCAACACATGGACCATATATTTTGGAAAATGTTTGTCATTGATTTATTAATTACATATTTAAGGTAAAGAGAGCAATATTAATTGAAGGAATTTTAGCAGAGATAAGCCACATGTGTGTGTGTGTGAAAGACAGCATGTTGGTCAACCCGGTAGGATAAGATGTCGTTAAACTTGAAGATTAACCAACCAAAGAGGAGAGGATTGAAGCGGAATTCTTTGGATAGGTTGAAGCATTCAAGTTATTGTATACGGTGTTATGCGCATCACTGAGGGATTTTATTCTATAAATACTGGTAGTTGTAATAAATAAAATAATAAGTAAATAATAATATAATATAATAATAATAATACCAATAGTAATAAATAATTAGATTGTTAGAGCGAAGACGGTTTATGGAAGAAATTGAACTCTGTACCCTCCCACTCTCGTGAGTTGAAAATTTGGTATGGAACAACCTCCAACTCAATATTCAAAATCTGAAATAAATTATATCAGTAGTTAACTGCAGACTTTGGAAAATATCATTGTTTTCTTTCTTTTTGCATTTTAATGCGAGTTTTTCATTCACAGAATAAGGGACTCAGTGGGAAATGAAGTATGTACATCCTTCCCCATAAGTAGTACTTATTCATGGGGATCAAGGTTCAAAGTTCTGAAGGTAACTATACTTTTCGCAAGTATGTGTTAGAAGGAATGTAGAAATTGGCTTCTGGTATAGGGTTGACTTTAATAGCATTATTATTATATATTGCTTCTTGTAGGATTGAATCGAATGCCATCCAACGTCAGCACCTTGACCAAATGTGAACTGGATGAAGTTGGTAAAAAATTTGAATCTTCTTTATTTTATATTTTGCTTCTTGCAGTAACTTTCTTTTGAATTCCTAAAAAATTAGCTTCCATTAAATTCAACTTTTGCAGTGATCGAGATGGTATGTAGTTATATGCTGCAACAAAATCGACCGTATAGTGCTATTGATGTGTGGAATAATCTCCGACAAGAATATCCCAAAGCTGTGAGTTTTTCTCGCTTCCTGAATTTTTGTTCTTGAAAGTTGGGAGGTTTGTTAATTAACTAAAAGTTAATTTTGAAGGCTGCAGTTTTTCAAATGTTCGATCGTATTTATTTAACTGCTATATGATGCAAATAAAAAGAGAATTTCAGCAGGTAATCAAATGTTTGGATGTTGGGGTGGAACGGGGATTCCTATGCGAGAAACTTATTTCGAAACAAAAGATCTACTTCGCTGATCAAGTATGCTAACATTCACCCTGAAAATAACAATGTAATTCAAAATTTATTTCAATTTTCAATAGAAATTGCTGGAAATCCAGAAATCCTTATGGGAAGGAAGCCCAAAATTTTAATCTGACTGGAAATTATTTCCAGAGCAAAACTGAAAAATGCAATGAAGAAGAGCTCCAAGCTATGAACGAATCTATCGTCGAAAAGAAAAATCGCTTAAATGAACTTAGCAACGAAATAAAAGTCATAAAAAATGGTATTTGGAAAATTTCGACATCAGAAGTCGTGTTTGATAGCTGTGTTCTCGTATCACTGAGCTGTCTAGGAGTGAAATATATGACCTATCATGTGTATTTCAGATAGGTAATATTGCAGTATTTCAGATAGGTAATATTGCAGAAAGTTTTTTTTCTTCATCTCAGGATAACTTTTTATCTTTATTTTTTTTATTTGTTGACAAAAGTTAACTTGTTTGTAAGAACCAGAAATTATAAATGATGATATGAAGATTTTTGATTTTTTGTTTTAGATGAAATATAAGTCATTTCATTACAATCCGAACTTTGCTTTTCCGCGAATTCTATTTTTTTAGAGTTGAAAGAGTATGGAAACGTAATGAGAATAGAAGAGATGATTGCTTTACAAACGACTCTGAAAACACAGGTATCATTCATCTGGTGACATAATCTGAAAGTATATGTAATTTAAAACTAGAGTGATAGTTTTGACTGCTTATGATCGGCATGATGAGAGTGGCTACATTCTTACTTATTTAGAAAAATAATCCAAATCTACTAGATTCTATATTTGTATTTTAAAGATAAAGGAAATGGAGAAACGTATCAGTGGAATGGTAACTCATGCGAAGGACGAAGTTGTAAATGAAAAAAGAAAATCGGAGCTTGTCGCAAAGCAAGAATATTATACGGGGCAGTACAAGGAGCGAAAGCGAATTGCAGATCGAATTGTTGATGTAATATGTGAAAATGTCAACATTTCAAAAAAAAAATTAATGGTAAGACAGTTATTAATTTGGGAGCTTAGCTATTAGCAAAAAGGGGTTTAATGGTCATATTTATTCATTCTTGTCACACTGACACTATATCACGAGACAGGTCCACCTATGGAAGTAATGAATTAAGCTTGCTGAACTGTCTTGTCTGAATTCTGTATTTGGCATTAGATGAAGAAATACTCACGATATACAACAAGGAATTAAGGATAATTTTCATCATGGATTTTTCAGGAAGATATTGGCTTTGAACTTGACTGACTTCCTGCTCCAATTACTTCAGAAATGAAAGATTGACTCTCTTGCTTTTTAAGCTGTCAAATCCCATTATTTCTCAATCGATGAATAAATCATTATTCTCCACTGTGTTTTAGTCCTGTGCATATTATTATGGATTTAAATGTTATTTTGATCGCTCTGTTTTCTTAAATGACATCACAGTTGATCCGTGCAGAACATGTGGTAAAACATTTCTTTGGATTGTTAAAGAATATGTCAGTTCCGGTTTTTCCGCGCTGTACTTTTGCTGTTTTAAAATGAACGCTAATTTTTGCAATTTTCGTTTTGAAGTTTCGATATTTTGCCTGTATTTTCAGGACGAGTTTTTAAGAATCATTAAGTTTCGCAGTTTAAATGACATCTTTAAGGTGAATAAGTTTCAGTGTGCTATAAGATGTATTCTCACTTCTTGTAAGATAAATTGTTTTTACTCTATAATGATTTAGTCATTACTTTCAGTTTCCTAAATCACTATTGCATAAGGAATATATGAATTGCAGGTTTTCTCCATGAATTTGATAAATGATGAGATGAAGTACAAGAAGTATTCTGAAAGTCTCGAATTTACTGGTAGTTTTTCAGCGTTCACAAATGATTTTTATCATTTAAACTGATACGAAAATGGAAGTGGATGAAAATGATACATTAGAGAATCAAACACCGAAAAAAGATGATGGGACTGCTCCGTGGATAGCATCGTTACCAAAGAATAATGTGGGAGATGTGCGCGACATATCTAATCAGGCGTTCTGGACGTTATCCAGTTGTAAAACGGGTCTTTTTTAAACTTTTTTCTGAACAGTAATTAGATTTAGGAATTCAGCTACTAACTGGAAAAGATGCTGACCTTTTTCCTGGTTTCCAGGAAACTAGGGAAGAGAAAATAATTATTTTGAACAGACAACATGGACCGAGGTAATTATTTTCTTGTTTAATTCTTTTATCGTTTTTCAGATGGTTTTGGTATCCAGCAGCTATTAGATGAAGATTTGGAACAGTACTGGCAGTCGGATGGACCACAGCCGCATACGGTGACAATTGAGTTTAGCAGAAAAACAAATATTTCGTATTTGTTATTATATTTGGATTACAAAACCGATGAATCGTATACACCTAGCAAGTAAATTTCTTGATTCCTGAAATATCTGTCCTTGTTGAAATTATCAGAAATATATTTTTTTGAATGTTTTTTGAAAGGAGAAAAATAAATGAATGTTTGATAGATTAAAAGTTAATGCTTCGGTGTTACACTATATTTTTAAGCCTTTTATTCTCTGGTCTCACCCAATATTTAATTGTAGTGATTATAAAGATTAATAACTTGATTGGACTGTGAGTATTTGATTTCTCGAAGTTTGTTTTGGTCTACATGAGTGTTAAAAGTATTGTTCAACTCATTGTGAATATTGTTGACAATTATGATGATTTTAGGTTTAAGTATTTATTATTATTATAATATATATATATATATATATATATTTGTTTTTTTTTTCAGAGTAGTTGTACGTCTTGGTTCATCAGTTCTGGATGTAGATGAAGGTTTAACAGTTGTGTTTTCCGAACCAGTGGGTTGGCAGGTTATTTTTTTTTTTTTTTTTTTCATAACTCAGTTTTGAGATTTGAAGAATAATCTTTTCAAAAACTTTAGGATCATGCAAGCCTAAGGTTCGTTTTGTTTGAAAAAATAAGCAAGATAACTCGGTCGAAAATCATTTTTTTAAGGTTATCGATTTACGCGATGCTGATGGGGGCCCATCTCGTGCTTTTGTCTTACAGTTGCAAGTTGTACAAAACCATCAGAATGGCCGTGATACTCATATAAGGTATGATATCATTTTTAAAATTGCTGTTTAAATTAATTGCCAGAGTTTTTTTTAATGAAAATAAGTGGATGAAGTACGGCGTTTTTTTTTTTTTGATGCATAATTTATCTAATGTCCTTAAGTTTTTTTTACACTATGAAGTCAGCATTGTTTCCCTCAAATATACAAATTCTTCTCTGCCATTTATTATTCCTTTCATCGTTCTTAAAATTTGTAAAGTTGAGAGGAAAAGAAGACCAGTAAATGTAGTTAAATTTTTTGAAATTTAACATTTTTTCGCGTATTGATTGTAGAATTCTATTAGAATATTTTATTGATGTAATAATCTGTTTTAAGACAGATTGCAGTTTCTTGTTTTCATATATTGCTAATTAAATTTTCGAAAAATTTAATTGACAAATCGGAAATGATGAAATAATGTAATTGAATTATTTGTGTTTATAGGCAAATGCGAATAATTGGACCAACTCGAGCACGATTGGACACTGGTATAAAGACAATGATTAATGCTGGAACAAATATAAGCAATGTCCCACTAAAGTTTACTTCTCAGACAATCGCTCAGTTTGCTAATATCCGTTAATTGAGTAATTTTCAAAAATCAGATGTTCTCATTGTTTTTATTGTATAGCACAAATGTAACAATTTACTTGAAATAGTTTATATGCACATTTTTTCATATTACTGGAATTAAATAATACCAAGAAATAGTGTCGAGAACTGTGTTCTAAATATTACATACTACATGCTCGAATCGGTTTTAAAAAATTTTATCTTGATATAAAATTCTAAGTTTCAATACTTTAAACTTAAAGAAAAAATTTTTAAACTTCTTTCAAATGATGGCAATGGAAATTTCTATGTTGCTTGAACTGCTATTGGATATACTATTTTTGAAGAAACTAGTTTTATCAAATTCCACATTTTGTGTCTATGAACTACTCATTTTATTTTCATTTTACAGTATTTTTGATGGAATTATTAAGATTGTTAATTAAGGTCATATTACTCTCGTAAGAGGTACTACAAAAGCTTCCAGTTGCATCGAAGCTTGACATTATTCAGTCATTCTAGGGTTGATCCGGTCGATGTACTATCTAAACTAAAGTCTTCAATAAAAAATTGGAAATTGATCAGTATATTTTCACATCTCGCCACATGTAATTGTACACGTTATCAGTAAATGGATAGGTATAGACAAGAATATTACCGATATTAAGTTTTCGTTCAGCATGACAGCTCGATGGAAGAGAATGGCATGGGAGAAATTTGTTGTCACCTAGAGGATTATAATTTCCTATCAGTGTTCTGATGTTTTCCGCTAGTAATAGGAGTTATAACAGTAGCAGTAGTAGTAATAGAACCACAGACAATGTATATGAAACAATTGAGGAAGGGTAAGAGTGAATGCATGAAGGAGTTATTCATCAATACAAAGAGGCAGTTGACCTCTGAACCGTGGCCAAATAGCAGACATTGTGGCAGTAGTGTAAAGTCCAGTGGACAACAACAGTTTCAGACATATACATCATACCTCTTTCACTTTACTCAACTCGTCAACTGCGCTGGTACGAAATGAAATTGGATCGCAGGAAATCCCGAAATTTACTGTTGTAATTGTAACTTAAAGCCTATAATGAGTTCCGTTGTCAAGATGACTCATCACCCTTATTATAATCACTTATTATCGCTCACTATAAGTGTTATCATTATTGATAGTAACAAATGCTAGATCCCTTTCACAGAATCTCACCATCACTTCTAAGCAGCTACGTTCCATTTGTCCACAGATTCTATTTTTAAATTATCTACTACTTTCTGTATTTTCCTATTTCTCGAATTATTTTCTAGACAACCACAGTGTGAAATTTAAAAGACTACTGATAGCTTTACTTTTTTAAATTCTTTTTACAATCCAAAGGTACAACTACTTCTGTCCAGATAGACTCCTCTACTCTTTTCATAAATTTAATCGCCTTTTTCTCTTTCACTCATATTTCTTTTACTCAGGCGCCAACGATATTTGTTTGCACAACATTTTTCCCTTCATATCAGTGCAAAATAAGACATCAAGGAATTGCGACACGAAAGCTCGTCCAAAGACAAATTTGATTCTTTAGAAATAGTTATAGCGAATTATTCATTAAAGAACTATAAGCCAGTTATTCGTCCGATACATATATCTTAAGGTCATCTCTAGATATATTCAGATTTGTAGTAACGTTGACGTTGGTTAGAAAGATCGTAACTTCGATAAATGAATAGAGTAGCATGGAAAAAGAGAAAGCGATGTGATGGAATGGCGCAAACGGTAACATCGATGCTTTAGTATTGCTGATCATTGCACTCACAATTTTTATCTATGTAATGGCTTCATTCATTAAGCTAACAATAATTTTATAGCTATGGAATACGGAAAATTTTGATTTTAAAAAGAAATAAAAATTTTCTTTTATTGTTGCGATTGTAAATATCTTCAATTGTAATTTTATGATCAGTAATTATTGAGAACTAAATTTGAAATATGCAAATTGTATAAGTCGATTAATTTCTTCATTTCTTTTGGATTGATAAGTTGTCGTCAATCCTTCTATCTACGAAGTACCGATTATATGAGATGCGGAAAAAGATGATTCATTACGACAAGCCGAAGGTCACTGTGCACAACATATCAGTTATGTATTATACATGATGGATTCTAAGCTGCTCCCATGTATAATAGTGATGACAAGAAGAAGTGCAATACTCCTTCTTCCTGTCAACGACATTTTTTTAACAGTGATGTTCTAATAGTGATGAGATTGTCCAAATGACGCGAAAGAATATTAAGATAAGCGCAAGAGGAGAATGACCACTAGGAGAATATATGTGTATCTGCGCAAAAGTGATATTTCCGCCCTTTCTTTTTTTTTCGTCCATCAAAAAAACTTATTTTGGATGAATGCATAAAAAAGTTAAAGAAGCTCAGATTTCAGTTAATTATGAATTGAATCTTTGAGTGTCGATAAATAAGTGAAGATAAATCATTGGCCATCTTCCTAACTCCATTTTTTTTTTTTTTTTCATAATAAGCTGGATAAATAAATATTTATTAGATAAATAATAATTGGAAGACAAAAGTTGTGCCGATAAATTGGATACTAATGTACGAACAAATATTACTGAATGTTCGTCCTTCGGCTAAATTCGACAATACCAAGAATCCTGCAAACGACTTGCTTGTCATTTGTCTGTTAGGATAAGGCCTTTGGTGTTTGTAATTTTTTGAAACAACCCTATTATAACTTTCTTTTGCTCTGCAGTTAAATTCATTTCGGAAACTGATTTTGAGCTTGTGCAGTTCAACTGCAACTCAAGCTGATATCCGAAAGTCTCCGCTTGTTTGTTTAGTTATCCGTCCCTTCATTTCTGCAGTCGCAATATACTTTCTTTGCAAGCTTCAAATTATATTTTGAACTTCATTTCGCAAACTATCACCGCATTAACCCTATTTATAATTTCACTTTTTAATAAAGAATTCTATCCATTATTCACTAGCTGTTCATTCAATTCTTTTGTTTTGTTTGTTCTATTTTTTAAGAATTTTTTTTTTTTTTTTTGCTTTCAAACGCATCAAGAAAATGCTGAAAAAAAAATTTTCATCAAAGAAAGACATCAAATGTATAAGCTATTTTGAAAATAATATTGTGTCGTGCCGTTATTATCAGCAAACATTGATTTTTTTGATATATTTATCAGCTGAACTGTACAAAGCACTTTGATATGAACATATCGTTGCGTTCCTTATTATCATTCCTTCAGTGTTTTATTAGTTGTGAGTTAAAATTAAATTAATTTATTGTTGTGGTAATACAAATTAGCAAAATATTAGAATTAAAATTTACGCCTCTGAACAAAAAATGTTTAGATTTACGAATTTTTCAGATTATATCTTAAGAAAACAAATAATGTTCTTAACCAGCATTTGTCCATTTTTATTTCATCTTTTATCTTCCTTTTCTTTATAACAATTCCAGTTTATCAATCATATTTGTTTAATGATCAAAAATCATTCACATTCCTCTCCTTATTGAATTATTTCATTCTTCGCACACTTAGTTTAGCATTTTGAAATAATTGTTAATCTGATTGGGGGACACTTCATATCTGACCAGTTGACCTTGACTCATTGATTGAAGTAGAATTGTTGAACCATCATTCGTTGGCATTTTATCAATGTATTATATGTATTTAAATTTCAAATTGCATTCTGAAAATTTTAGTTGGGCGGGGAGAAATTTTATGATTGCTTACAATTTTCTGAAAAAAATCTCACCAGTTTACGGTCGATAAAATCGAAAAAATTATATTAAATTGAGCAGTATGACCTTTGAACATTCCCATGTTGACTTTTTGCAACCCTTTTGAAACTTCATATTTCGTGGGCGACTTTTTTGTTTACTCTTTAATTGTTAAAAGGCAGCAGTAAGCAACTCCAACAACTGTTTGCTCACTAGTTTTCTCTGCAATCCTCGTAGGTATACTGTGTTTGAGCATTAAATTATTGAATAACCATATGGTCTTCCAAATATCACTTACCATTTTTAAAAAAACTGATGAATTTTAAAATTTTAAAAGAGCTATACAAGAAATAGGTAAAGTAATTTCATGACAGTAATCTTTTTTAGGTTTTAAACCGTTCTGATTCATTTAAATTCACAAAAAAAGTTCTCTACCTTAGAGTGCTGTCTATCCTAATTAATCTAATTAATGGAATTCCTACTTAAACTGTTTAAAATTTATATCTCTTTTTCACTACTGTTCCTTCTCTAATGTTGCAAAAATGGTGTTAAAAAAAAGATGTATTCACATTTAACGATGATGGGACTGCTTAACTGAAAAGTGAAAGTTATTGAATATGTACTTAATTTAATGAAATTATTGAAATATATTCCTACTCACCTCTTCTTAACAGAAGAGCTCTATAAGTTTACAAAAATATTTTAATTTAGGCAAGAGTAACAGAATTAGCATTAGATAATCATAAAAAGCATTTCTCTTTTGCAAACAGTAGGAAGAAATTCATGATATCTCGGATAGCATGCGGTCACTTCCCATTTTTTAAATTTTTAGTTATTTTATTTTTCTGTAAACTAATTAGCAATAAAGTCCCGACTCGAATTCCATATTATCTTTCCATAACCTTCCACAAAACTTTATCATTTTGATATCCTCAAATGCTTTCTCATTCGTGTTAAAAGGTAACCTTCTTTATTTAACATTTAATTATTAAGTGGAAAAGAATAAATGTAAGCCAAATAAGCAAAAAGTAAAAAGAAGAATAAAGCCGAGTAAGTGAAAAGTAAAAAAAGAAAATAAACTGGAAAGAAATTCAATTACATATGCTAATGCATAATTTATTCTATCACCTTTGGTCAAATGTGTAGTAAAATGGATTTAACAAAAATAGTTCCATTATTGGGCACAGATATGCTCTTATTATAAGAGCATATCTGTGCCCAATCCTTCTTTCTCTGTTTACTTGCCTAGTTCGTTTACGCTTGACCACATCATTCCAAAAATTTTCTTTCCATCCTTCTTTCA